AATTTCCAATATTTAATGCTAGGGGTAGTGACAACTTATATAATACTTATTTGACTTATACTATTTGTTAGTTATTGCTTATATTCTATTTAATTATTGCTAATACATATTTCAATTTATTTTGTAATGCTGATCTATAATATAATACAATATATTATGACAGCATCCTTACTTAAACAGTTTTATTCCTATTTATTACTCTTTTTGCAATTTTCAAACAATAACTCATAAATTTTTCTCTGTATTTACTCATCATTATGATACTTATATTCTCCTTAATTAATTTTAATTCAATTTCGTTTTCTATTTTCAGGCGCTCTGCGGCGTATGCGGGACACTCCAGCAAAATGTGTGGCACAGTTTCTTCAGCATCGGGGTCGCAAATGCACGATGGATTCTCTTTACACTTAAAGCGGTGTAAGTATTCCGAAAATCCACCATGCCCCGTCATGACTTGGGTAGTCTCGCTGCTTGCTCCAAATTTTCTTATTAATCGGTAGGCCAATTTCGCGTCTGGGAAAAACAGCTTCGTGATTTTTGCTGTTTCACCGGTCTGGTATCTTTGATTCCATTCGTCTAGCGTTGCCATACGGATGCTTCGCTTGACGAATGAAACCGGGCAAAGATCGTAATCCGGTCTCACTTTGGAATTTTTTGCGGCCTCTTTTGCTAGTCTGTCTGCTCGTTCATTCCCCTCTAAGCCCGCGTGGGCTTTAATCCAAAACAAAGTTACTACTTTGTTTTGGAGAGATATTGCTCTTAAATTATCTCTACATTCCACGGCTAACGGGTGAAGGCAGTTTGAGTTAATGATCGTTTGAAGGGCCGCCATTGAGTCACTATAAATTCCAAAGGAGGACGCTCTGTGCTTGAGGATTTGCCCAGTCGCCCTGCAAATGGCCAGGAGCTCGGCCTGGTAAACTGTGCAGTATGTTGGTAGAGCAAGTTTGAGGGCTTTATTTTCGGTCTTGTTTTTCCATTCGGAAAGGGCGGCGCCAACCTTGCCCTCAATCTTGCTCCCGTCAGTAAATATGTGGACGTTTATTTCGCTGTGTTTGTTCAGCTGCTCCTCGTTTACCAAGCTAATAATTTCTAATTCCAGGCGCTCAGCAGGGTGTGGGCCCTCAACGGCTGAAGCCATTCTCTCGACTTCTCTTCCCGCCAACACTGGCTGAGGTACCCCCTTCTTGGCTTCATATAATGAAGCCGCCTCACGAACTCGGAGGTCTAGGGGGAGTATTCCAGCCAGTACTAGCGCCGAATTCAAAGAAACCGTCCGGTAGGCTTTGCATAATTTTTGCGCTATACCGCGCTGGACTACGGCAAGTTGTTTTATAACCCCCAGCTTTTTTGCAGCCTGTGCCCAGACGCTAGCAGCGTAAAGTATAATAGGCTCTACAGTCGCGAGATATATTACTCTTATCACTTCCGGATGAAGTCCCCAACTAACCTTTGCAGCTTTGCATAGCTGTTTGTAGATGCCGATTGCCTTCCTACACACGTTCGATACATGGGTGTTAAAAGTAAGTTTATTGTCAATAGTTACACCCAGTAGCTTTATTTCTTTTGACATGCCAATGTCAATACCTCCCATGCTCACTGGTTGCTGCTTCTTCATATTTGGTTTGCCATCTTAGTAGTGTGTTGCTTCTGGTGAGGTGCTTGGCGTAAGACAATGGGAACAAATCATAAGTTGCCTTCTGTTTTTTTCTAGTAGCGGCATATTTAGCTAGCTCATCTGCTCTTTCGTTACCTAATAAGCCGCAGTGAGCTTTTATCCAGTAGATCAGGACTTTGCCCTCTTTTTTTTCTATTTCATTTAGCTTCGAAGAAATTTCAGCTGCAATTGGATTAAGTGACGTAGGATTACAAACTGTTATGACTGCTGATCTCGAGTCGCTGAGGATGTTGGCTTTAAGGTTTTTCTTTTCAAGCATATATGTTACTGCCTTCAGAATAGCAATTAATTCGGCTTGATATACGCTGCAGTAATTTTCCAGCCTACAGGTGATGTTTTTAGTTTCTTTTCCATCCTGCCATACTGAAACAGCCGCCCCTACTTTGTTATCCATTTTGCTGCCGTCTGTAAAAAGTTTTGGCCAGTTGTTGTCAATTTGGTTAATGTCTTCTTGGCACGTTATTAGGTTGTATTCTCTCTTAATTCTTAATGAGGGGTGCGGTAGGTGAAAAGGACTTATTCTCATCTGCAACTGTCTCCCAGGGAGTGAATCAATGTGCTTGCCTCTTTTGATCTCATATAATTCGGCGTTTTCTCTGGCTCTTAGTGCCAGTGGTATAATCTGAGCTAGTAGCGCGCTGGATACAAGGGAGATAGTTTTGTGGCCTTTGCAAATGCGAATGCTAAACATTCGTGTAAGCCTATTAAGCATTCGATTTATATATTTCTTATTAGTTGCTTCTACCCAACAGCTCGCAGCATACAAAATGGTTGGTTCGACCACAGCTTGGTAAATAGTTCTTACTATGTCCGAGTTAAGGCCCCATTGCGCTCGTGCTGCTCTTGATAGCATCTTGTAAAATCGAACTGCTTTACTGCAAATATAGTCTAAATGAGGCTTAAAGTTTAAGTTTTTATCTATAATTAAACCAAGAATTTTGAGTTGATCTGTGTATGCTAAGGTTGTTCCATCCATAAGTAGTTTGGGGCGATGAAATTTAAGCTTTTTTGTTATTATTGTGCTTTGAGTTTTATGTGGGGCAAATTTTAGCTTGTGTTTTTGTCCCCATTCTAAAATTGTTTTAAGAGTATCGTTTACATCTTTTTCTAGTTGTTGTCCATCTTTATTTGAGGCTATTATTAAGATGTCGTCAGCAAAGGCTTGTACGTGGGCTGCAGAGATTTCCGTTGTCTGAAGTAAGGGATCAAGTTGAATATTCCACAGCATGGGGCCGCAAGTCGATCCTTGGATACATCCTTTATTAGTTTTTAATGTAATATTTTCGTTGGCATAGTTTAAGTTTATTTCACGGTCTGATAAGTAACTAATTATAAGTTTTAACATCGTAGGTTCAACTTGTTTGTTTCTGAGTTCTGTAATAATTGCGGGCCACCATGCGTTGTCGAATGCGCCCTCAATATCTAATGACACTAGTATTACTATTTCTTTCTTTTTTAGTCCATTTTTAATTAATGTTATAGTATCATATAATGCATCCTCGGTGCTTCTCTGTGGAGTGAATCCATACTGTCTCTGGTTCATCCTTTCGTCTTTTCCTAACTGCCATTGGACTCTATTCGTAAAAAGTTTTTCCAGTATTTTACCAAGTACTGGTAGCAAGCCAATAGGTCTGTATGCTTTAGGATGGGTGTAATCTTCTTTGTTGGGTTTTGGGATTACCTTGATTGTTGCCTTTTTCCAGGTTTTGGGAAAATATCCTAATTGGAGGCATTTGTTGTAGAGTAGTTCCAAAAGCTCTGGGTTACTGTTATAAGCTGCTTGGCATATGTCGGATGTCAGGCCGTCTTCTCCTGGGGCTTTTTTCGGATTCATGTTACTTAGTATTTGGTCTATTTCAGTTCTAGCGAATGGTGTCTTAATCTCTGTTGCGTTGTTTCCGAATTGTGCTATAAATTCATTTGTTTTTGTTCTAATTTCATTTTGATCCTTTGTATCGGTGTTTGAGCTGTCTTTAGGGTAAAAAGTTTCAGCTAGAAGTGTTGCCGACTCTTTTTCTGAAAGGATTGCTCCATTTTGGTCTTTAAGTAGTTTATCTTCCTCTCTATTAGAGTAGACCTTCAGTATGCGATATGTGCGTTGCCACACGTTTTCTTTCTGCTCGTTCGTGCATAATTCTTTCCAACTTTTGGTTGTGGCATCTTCTATGCTTTTTTTATATTGCTGTCGTGCTTCGAGATATTGTTCTATGACCCAGTTCTTTCTTGTAGGGTGTGCATTCCTTATTCTTCTTCTTAATCTAATCATTATCTCCTTTTTTTCTTTAATTTCTGTGTTCCACCATTTAGCCGCTTTAGAAACCTTTTTTCTATTTATTTTCGGAATCGTCTCATCACATGCCTTTGTTATGCTTTCTGTGTATGTGTTAACAATTTCTTCGACCTGCTGTGTCGTCATAATTTCCTCTATTCTTTTCTTGGTTAGACCATTGTTGTCAAGTGTCTTCCGGAATTCAGAGTTAAAACGACACCAATTTGCTTTCCTTGTATTGTATTTTCTGGTGCTATTGATTTTTATCTCAGTAAATGAAGATGACATGCTCAATTTGAAGAGAATTGGCTTGTGGTTAGATAAAGTACAGAAAGAATTATCAACTCTCCAATTCTCCACTTTATGCAAGAGTGATGTTGAGCAAGCGGTAATGTCTATAATGCTGGAGCAGAAGGTATCCCTTCTATATGCGCTAAAAGTAGGTACTTTTCCTGTGTTAAGTACCTCCAAATTGAGTTCGGCGAAGGTTTCCATAATCTGTGTTCCTCTGTTGTCGTCCGCCTTACAACCCCACCAGATGCTGCTGGCATTTGCATCGCCACCAATGATGACGTCTTCTGTCTGCATTGCTTCCACGAATGTCTTAATCGTGGCCAAGTCTTCTTCAATTACACCTTTTTCATGCAAGTAGATACTAATAAAACCAATGTTATGATTATCTATTTTTAGTACAATGCCTACGATGTCTTCGGTTAGTAAGTTTGGATTGATAGTGAAGTTAATATTAGGGTCTATGACAACTATTGCAGATCTCACTGGTTTGTTGATATCATTAGTGACCTTTTGAATTACACGGTATTGTGGACCCACTGTTAAGTGTGCCTTTGCTCCAACATAAGGTTCTTGCATCAATATAACAGAATACCCTTGCGTAGTGGCGGCGCGTAAGCACTCAAGTGTTGCCGCGCGGCCACGATCAAGGTTATATTGTGCTACTTTTATAATTTTTTTGCTTTCAAGGTTGCTTGGTGTTTCTGTGTAATTTTTTTGATCATCCATGTCTTAACAATATGAAACCGAGCTTCTTGATATGCTATCCCATTTTTGCCACTCTGGGCATTCGGGACTATAAGCAGGATGGGTAGCATTTTCTTTGCCCAACTTATTGCAGTTATTACATAAAGGAGCTGCATTTCTGTTTGAGCATGTCCTCGTGTCATGGTTTCCAGAGCAGTACCCACAGGCTAAGTCATTTGTGCAGTCCTTAGCTCTGTGATTGAACCTCAGACACTTGTAACACTGCATAAGAGGAGACTGATCTATACAGGGGATTATCTGAAAGCCTATACGTAATTTTTGATCCTTCAGTCGTATCCACATATGCGGCGTGACCTCCAGAATAACATTGATTAGGTCGCGTGTCCTACCTCTAGTTCTACGGAGAACTTTAACGAATTTTTGTTCTTCGTCTAAGTCTGTAATTAATTTAGAGTTTTGAGTAAGAATTGCTTTAACTAGCTTATCGTCATTAAGCTCATTAGTAATTCCTATTAGGCGTAACTGAGGATGTTTTACAGAAGTGGTTGAGACAGTTAGTTTGTTACATGTATCCCTGATTGCTTTTTTTAAGGTTTGTCTATCTTGTTGCGAATCGCAGCTAATGACAACTTTTTGATTTTTTAGTTTTGTTATTCTATTCACACAAATTCCAAGTTCAACTGGGTCTACCTCTTTTTTTACCTGTCTCAGGATCTCATCGCTTGTTGATCGCGGGTCTATAGATTCCAGGACCATTGCATATCGAGGTGTTCCCACAGCTTCAGCGTATGTAGTTTTATGCGGTGGAGATGACTTTGGAACAGACATTTGTGGGGTTGTACTGTTATCTTGATCTTCATTTTTGTTGCAACCTGTGTGTTGTCTGTTACTTAAGTCTTTTCTTAACTCTTCTATTTTTTCCTTGATATCAGTTACAGCTAGCTCAGTACCCAACCCTGAATTCCCTTGAAATACCATCTGTGCGGTAGTGCAATCCTTTAGCTCAGTAATTTCTGCCAATAAGGTTTGTACCATATGAGCTATCGGTTGCAACGCCGCTTCGGCCTCTTTTCGTTGGTCAATGTCTGTTGGCGGGGTATATTGAAGGGTTTGGATCATGTCTTTTGTCTCTAGTATATGATTAATTATATCTCCAATACGAGGGTCATCTGAGGGTCTGATTTCGGCTTGAACCGGCAAAGGCGGCGGTTCTTCAGATCGAAGCTTAGAAAGTTCGTTAATTGACATGGTCAGGCACTTAAGCTGACCAGTCATTTCCGCTATCTTTCCATTTAGTTGTGTAAGATCCTCAGTACATGTCCCCGTATATGCAATCGAGCTAATCTCGGCTGGCAGGGGTTGTGCTTTGGCTGCTAAGCTTCGCACTTCCACTTGAATTTTACTAATGGTTTTCAAGGGTTCGTCCATTTCGTAATTCAGCCAGCTACGGATTGCTTCAACACCATTTCCTGCATTCTTCACAGCTTCGTACATTTCTTTTATCGTGTTATAATGCAAAGTTTGAATTTCTGCTAGTTGCTTATTATGGGCTCTTTCTATTCTAACTAATTCCTTAGCTGCTCGACATTTTTCTTGTTCTAAGGCTAGCCGGTGTCGTGATCGCGAATCAGAAAGTGACAGTACCGTCTCGTATAAGCCCTGAAGAGAGTCGTGCACCTCATTTTTGCACTCTCTCTTCATGTTGCCCGCTTTTTCTAGGGCTTCCTTGCCTGAGAGCAAGAAGTCATTGGCGCGTTGAGTGGCTAAGTCCATGGATATTCCCGCTCGTTTATAAGCGGGGGGCAGTATGCTCGACCTTCTGCTGTTGGTGCTATAGATGCTGTCTCCATCGGACCAGTCATCGTCGGTTTCCCGAACCGGCTTGCACTGGCCTAATATGTTTAGCTCTTTTTCCATGTCCATTGTCATCGAGCTACTAGCATCCTTTGCTTCCTCGTGTGTTACTGACTCGGGTTGCTTAATATGATCCATCTCGCCCTCGGCGACTTTGCTGGATTGCGCAGAACTGGCTGTATCAGTTCGTGGCTCGGTGACAATATAGTTTTTGTTAGTAAATACTTCATCTGCTAGTTTTCCGGACGTGGCTGCATTCTGTAACAATACCTTCTTACGCAGACCACTTGGTGTTGGACTCGCAGCTCTGTTTGTCTTAGAAGACCTCGTTTTAGCTGTGCCAGCGCCTGAGACTGTGGATTTGGTTGACATTATGGATGTTTTTCTTTGTTATCAGTTGGAGGTCAAGCGTAATTGAGTCAACTCCAGGTCTGTTAGATTCCTTATTTGATACCCAATATTTTAAGCCCAAGCACGGGTAGTCTAGATTTTGTGGTTCTTGAGCAATTTACTGTTGAATATTTCCAATATGGCCGACCTAATTCCTTTTTTTCGTTGCTAAAGTGGTGTTTTTTTGATTGAAAAGGCTCGAGTTTGGAGTCAATCTGTAGAGAATAATACGGAGAGTGTATTTATTGGGCTAGTGGGCCTCCTATAGTTTTATCATAAATTAGTAACACTATCGCTCTCCCCGTACTCT